AAAAATATTATTACCGGCAATAATTTTTGAAGGAAAAAGTCATTACCAGCAATACTTTTTTGAAGGAAAAAATCATTACCAGCAATACTTTTAAAAAAATCTTATCAACTATACATTTTTGAATATATATATATATATATATATATATATATATATATATATATTGCCAGTTATAGATTTTTTGAAAAAAAAATATTAGCAGAAATAGATTTTTGAAAGAAAAAATATTACCAGCAATAAAAATTGTCAGCATTAAATAACTCATTTAGCTTGATATGCCGTAAAACAAACCAAACCAAACCAAACCAAACCAAACCAAAATCAGGTCTGAAATTCTTGTGCCACTTTTCATTATTCACTGAACGCTTTCATGCTTGTTGGGTTCAATAAATTTAATGTATGATTCGTTTTGAGTAGCGCTGTTTCTCTGAGGAGACGTAACTCGTCTGACGTCCGTTTAATATTTGAAGATGAGATGTTGGCAAAGACGACGTGAAATATTGATTAGAATCAAACGTTATGTTAAAGAAGAAAGGAGAGAGGAAGAATACAGTGCACAAAATTTAATAAATAATAGAAAAGAAATAAAAAAATTAAGTAAAAAAATCTTAAAGCCTGGAAGACAAAACGTCTGGAAATAAGGACAGAGAAGGAAACAAGAAAGCTTAAAAAAAACATGAATTGGAAAAAGAAAAAGAAAAAGGGAGCAAAAAAAGAGAAGGTTTTTGGCTTTGGTTTGGTTTAGTTTAGAGCCTATCAACACCTCAATGGGTCATTTAATGCCAACAACTTTTTTTTTTCCTGGTAATATTTTGTTTTGTCAAAAGTCTATTTCTGGTAATATTTTTTTCCTCAAAAATGTATAGCTGGTAATATTATTTTAAAAAATGTATTGCTGGTAATTTTTTTTTAAAAAAAACGTATTGCTGGTAACTGTTTTTTTCTTCAAAAATTTATTCCTGGTAATAATTTTTTTACAAAGTTTTTCTGATATTAAAACCTATTTTTACATATTCATAATGCTTTTTACCTCAGTTTCAGCGTTAACTATTTGCCCATAGCTGGGACCCTAACAAGTGCTACCACCCCGGGTCAGAGGTGACCTGGGCACACCAGCAATTAAGAGGTGGTTCCACGCTCCTCAAAGCCTTCTGATCAGAGGTCTTGCTGTTGGACGTAGTTTATTGTCTAACCCTGTACGCGGATGTAGTTTATCGTCTTACCCAGGACGGAAGAAGAGAAGGAAAGCGAAGATTTAGGAAGTGTTTAACATAAAAATTTAAATACTGCAATAGTCCGAATAATGTAAATAATGTACATAATACCTCATCTCAGAAATATAGACAGATACTAACCATTTCTTGTGTGAAGACAATGTATTAGAGGGAAACTGCCAAAGATTCGAGCAATGAATTGGATTTGTCGAAATGAAACAATTACAGAAGTTCATCTGGGGGATCTTTTTTTTTTTTTTTTAACAGAGAACTGAAAATGTGCCACCAAAATCCGAACGCATATAGTTCAGATTGAGAAGCCTTTATCCCAAATTATTTGGACTGCAAGTGCTTCGGTTTACCGATTTTTTCGGATCTTGGAATACAGGTTATTTTGTTTGTATATAGCATCTATGAAATGGCGCTGATTGGGAAATAAACACAAGCATAAACAGGATATCTCTTTAAGTTTTTTAAACAGCTTATACTTATACCCTGAATGTAGCTTTATATAAATAAAATATACCCTGAAAATATTTTTTATATAAAATCTAATAAATTGTGTCCACATACAGATACAAATAATGAAGCTTGTCACGTAATGCTCGCACAGATTTTCAAGTGATGAAATTAATATTTCACGTCAAAATAATTTAATTTCTGTACGTGTACAAAAAACACGAGCAATACTTACAAATATATATATATATATATATAAATGCAGAACTTGTATAATATATTTACTGAGCACGAAACACCTGGTAAGTAATCCTCGAACGAAGGTGTTGAGATGATGATAGCTAATAAAAATATCTGGCACAAACTGGGCTTTCTGAAATTTTCCATTTGTAGCAAGTCATGTCAGCACTTGAAAAACTTTCGGATTTGGGAGGTTATTCAGTTTAAGGTATCTCGGATAAAGGATATTCGATGTGTATTGCTACTTTAGACAACATCAAAATTTCATTAGAAGCCAAGAAAAGTGAATTAACCTACTATGAAATATCAGTCCTTGTCTATAAATTATTGAGATATCCCATTGTTATAGTAACAAATAACATGTTCATATTTGGTGAGCAGGTATTTTCTCTTGATGCTATAATGAATACCAGATTGTTACCTACCAGAGATAAAAGTTACAGATAAACAAAAACTTACAATATTACATTTGAATTTAGTTACTGTTATGGTCAGGTTCCTTGTACCACGGTGATAGTCCAAGGTAGAACCAATAAAGAAGAACTCGAACACGGATATGGAATAACACAGATATATTACAAACAGGAATATATACAGAGAAGTAGAAAGTGTTAGTACGAACAATCAGGTTTAGTAGGGAGAGCAATGTAGTCTCGACCAGTATCACTATTCCAATGTCTTGTAGTAATTCACTGAACGCGACTCTGTTTCGGACTGCCTCTGACTCGACTGACTAACTCGCTCGTTCTGACTGACTGACGGACTACTGACAGACTCCTGACAGAATTCACTCCAGACTTCAGACAGAACAGTATTTAGTCACCCCACCCACAAGGGCATCATGTAACACAAGGCCGGTTTAACGTGGGATCTCCGAGCCTGTGTGCTCGGCCAAAAGTATGCCCTTTGAACCCGTATAAACGGGTTCTGGGTCTGTTTACCTCCCCGAAAGAAACTCCACCCATCGGTGTAGCCTCGTTCGGGTTCCTCCCCGCCCGAAGGCAGAGAGTTCAACCGATCAGCCGATCAGCCAGTCGCCCGACTTCGGACTGATCTCTCTGCTTCCTCTTGAGGCGCAGTATTTATTACGTATGGAATAGTCCATTATGTTATTATGGCTAAGGTCAGATAACAGTTACAAAAATATAACTTTGAACAATAGGGAGGTAAGACAAGGAGGTGTCTTCTTACCGGATTAAAACGAGGCGATCTTGAGAAAATTAGAAGTTCTACCAGGATTTATTATTGGCGACCACAATCTCAGAATAACATTAGCCGAAAACTTAGGGAGATGTTGATAACAGGCAGAGATAGTAAACACCTGGAACCAGTAAAGCGAGTAAAAGAAAGCATAAGAAAGTACTTCACATTAATTGTAAGAAGACAATATATATGCAAACCTCCCAAATTAAGCATGTACAAAATGTAAATATCTATATACCATATAGAAGCACTGATACTACATAACACTTCTGTAATTTTTCTTTGTTTCTAATGAAAGCTTCCTGCTACATAATACTTTTCTCAGGTTTGGTAGGAATATTTCGCCGATATTGAATAACAGTTTAGTACTTTTTACGTGTTTCTAACTATTTCAACCTGTTTATTCATACGTTTTTGATCAGTTTTCGGAAGACATCTCTCGCTGATCTTTCAGCGATGGGTCAAATATAAGCTACCGTTAGAAAATCCCCATGGGACACTTCAAATAGTGTAATGGTTAACAAGCTTGTCTCGCTAGATCAATTACGAGTAAAAAGTGAGTTCGATCCACACATTTGACACTCTGCCGCATCTAAGCTACGCTTAGAAAATCATTTAGGGCACTTAGACGTGGTGTAGTGCTTAACAAGTATGTCTAGCTGAAAAAGTGAGTTCGATCCTCACTAGGTGCTCCATACGTTCAACCTTGTGCCACATCTAAGCCAGGCTTAGAAATCCGTTTAGGGCACTTCGACTTGGTCTAATTGCAGCCAAGCTTGTCTTGCGCGATCAGTTCTAACTGAATAGTCAATTCGATCCTCACTAGGTGCCTCAAGCATTCGGCATTGTGCAACATCTAAACTACGCTTCGAAAATCACAATAACATGTAGACTTATTAAAATTAATTGATTTTGCTGTGTAACAGTTCCTTCATCTTCAGGGTTAAATAACATCATAACGTATAGACGTTAAAACATAGCATCAGAAAAGTTCTAAAATTCATATATGTCTTCTTATCTATGACATGTGCCCTGCCTCTGCACCCCCTGGGTCATCACAGATTGCTTTTTTTTTGTAGATCTAACCAAAATGCATCCACTTATAGTACCTATCATTCCCTGTTCCGCAATCTATTTACAAAAGCTTGCTAGGTAGGTAACTCGCTTTATCTTTTACATGACGTGTGTCCTGTAGACGCGGATGCTCAGGTCTTGATTCTAATGTCACCATTTTCGTAGTTCTTGAATGTTCCCTCTTTCTGACAACTGTACATTGTGTCTTTTAACAATTGAAAATTAGTAATTTTTCTTTGATTTACGACCTTGTTCAGAACATCTTGCGGCTTATTTTTTGAGTCTGCCATCATCACAGTGTCATCTGCGTATTATATACTGAAGTTAAAAAAGATCTGACATTATATTCCTCAACATGACAACTACGCTAAGCGAATATGAAAGTGTTCAGTAGAATGTGTTAATGAATGGAGACAGCATGCTGTAAGGCAGCAATGTCGGTAATCATTTTATTGGAATTTCGAGTTGGATCTCAGCTAAATATTCTTGCTTTCTGAGCACGCTTCCATTTCAGTTTTCAGATATTTTTTTATTTATTGTGTTCCTTTTTTCTGGTTTTATGATTTCGTTTCCTCTACTTTGCATTTAGAGGGTGAGAGAAGCGATAAAAAGGAAAACCAGTTTACTTTTCTGACAGACTAAACTTTTTTGGTTGTGTTGTCTTTATGTCAAACTATCAGCCGATCTAGCAAGCAGTAAAATAAAACAATTATTGTCAGGAAATGTATTTTGTTTGCATGAGAGTAAAGAAAAATGCAGATGAATCTGATAGTTTTCCCTTCATTATTATGAAAAGCTAGATCTTTGGTTTCAGAGAGAGAGAACGAAGGAAGAAAGAATGGAAAAATGAAGTAAAGAAAGAAAAAAAAGAAGGAAAAAAGTAAAGGAGGAGGGAAGGAAGGAAAGAAAGAAGGAAGGAAAGAAAGAAAGAAACCAGGAACGTTGGAAATATGCAAGGAGGGGAAATAAGAAAGGGAGGAGGGAAGAAAAAAGGAAAGAAAAAAGAAGAAAAGGAAGAAAGGAAAAAAGGAAAGAAGGAGGGAAAGAAGAAAGGAAGTAGAAAGGAAGGAAGGAAAGAAAAAAGGAAGGAAGGAAAGAAAGAAAGAAAGAAAGAAAGAAGGAAGAAAGGAAGGAAAGAACGAAGAAGGAAAAGGAAGGAAGGAAACTAAGTAGACAGGAAATATGCAAGGAAAGAAAGAAGGAAGAAAGAAAGAAAAGAAGGAAGGAAAAAGGAAAGAAAGAAGGAAGGAACGAAGGAAGGAAAAAAGGGAAATAGGGAAGGAAGGAAAGTAGGAAGAAAAGACGGAAGGAAGGAAGGAAGAAAAGAACTGAGGAAAGAAGGAAAGAAACTAGTAAAGAAGGAAATGAGGAAGAAAAGAAAGTAGGAATGGAAGAAGGATGGAAGGAAAGCAATAAGGAAAGAAGGTAGCGGGAAGTTAGTATGGTAGGAAAGAAAGACGGTAGGAAGGAAAAAATGAACGAAGGATAGAAAGAGGGAAATAGGGAAGGAAGGAAGTAAGGAAAGAAGAAAGGAAGGAAGGAAAGAAGGAAGAAAGGAAGGTAAGAAGGCCGGAAAGAAAGAACAAAGAAGGAAAGAAACTAAGTAGGCAGGAAATAAGGACGGAAATAAGGAAGGAGGGAAGGAAAAAAGAAAGAAAGTATAGAATGAAAGAAAACGGAAAGAAAGAAGGAATGAACGAAGAAATAAGGCAGAAAATAGGCAAGGAAGGAAGGAAGGAAGGAAGGAAGGAAGGAAGGAAACTAGGAAAGAAGGAAATAAGGAAGGAAAGAAGGCAGGAAAGGCAAAAGGAAGGAAGGAAAGTAGGAAGGGAGGAAGTAAGGATGGTAGGAAAGAAGGGAGGAAGGAATGAAGGAAAGAACAAAGGATGGAAGGAGGGAAATAAGGAAGAAGTAAATAATGAAGAAAAGAAGGTAGGAAGCGAAGAAGGTTGGAAGGAAGGTAGGAAGGAAGTAAGTAAGGAAGGAAGGAAGGATGGAAGAAAGGACTAAGGAAAAAGGAAGGAAACTAGGAAAGAAGGAAATAATGAAGAAAAGAAGGTAGAAAGGGGAGAAAGTTGGAAGGAAGGGATGATAAAAGGATGGGAGGAAATAAGGAAGGGAGGAAGGAAAGAAAGAAGGAAGGTAGTAAAGAAGGAAGAAAGGGAGGAAGGAAAGAAGGAAGAAAGGGAGGAAGGAAAGAAGGAAGGTTGAAAGTAAGAAAGGAAAGACGGAAGGAAGGAGGGAAAGAAGAAAGGAAGGCAGCAAGGAAGGAAAGAAAGTAGAAAGGAAAGAAGGAAAGAAGGAAGGAAGGTTGAAAGGAAGAAAGGAAACACGAAAGGAAGGAGGGAAAGAAGAAAGGAAGGCAGCAAGGAAGGAAAGAAAGTAGAAAGGAAAGAAGGAAGGGAGAAAAGAAAGGAGGAAAGAAAGAAGAAAGGAAGGAAAGAATGCTGGAAGGAAAGAACGAAGAAGAATAAGAAAGAAAGAAACTAAGTAGACAGGAAATAAGAAAAAAAAGAAAAAAGGAAGAAAAAAAAGAAAAGAATGAAGAAAAAGGAAAGAAAGAAGGAAGGAAGAAAGAAAGGAAAGAAGGAAGGAAGGAAAGAAGGGAAATAGGGAAGGAGGGAAAGTACGAAAAAAGGTCGGAAGGAAGGAGGGAAGGAAGAAAGGAACTAAGGAAAGAAGGAAGGAATCTAGTAAAGAAGGAAATAAGGAAGAAAAGAAAGAAGGAATGGAAGAAGGATAGAAGGAAAGCAATAAGGAAAGAAGGGAGGGGGAAGTTAGTATGGTAGGAAAGAAGGAAGGAAGGAAGGAAGGAAGGAAAGAACGAAGGATAGAAAGAGGGAAATAGGGAAGGAAGGAAGAAAAGAGGGAAGAAAGAAAAGAAGAAAGGAAAGAAAGACGGAAGGAAGGACGGAAAGGAGGTAAGAAAGAAAGAAGGAAGAAAGGAAGGTAAGAAGGCTGGAAAGAAAGAATGAAGAAGGAAGGAAACTAAGTAGGCTGGAAATAACGGAAATAAGAAAGAAAGAAAGAAAGAAAAGATAGAATGAAGGAAAAAAAGGAAAGAAGGAAAGAACGAAGAATAGAAGGCAGAAAATAGGCAAGGAAGGAAAGAAGGAAGAAAGGAAAAAAGGAAGGAAGGAAAGAACTAAGGAAAGAAGGAAGGAAACTAGGAAAGAAGGAAATAAGGAAGGAAAGAAAGTAGGATGGGGAAGAAAGATGGAAGGAAAGCAATAAGGAAAGAAGGAAAGTCGGAAGTAAGGATGGTAGGAAAGAAGGAAGGAAGGAATGAAGGAAAGAACAAAGGATGGAAGGAGGGAAATAAGTAAGAAGGAAATAATGAAGAAAAGGAGGTAGGAAGGGAAGAAGGAAAGAAGTAAGTAAGGAAGGAAGGAAGGAAGGAAGGACTAAGGAAAAAAGGAAGGAAACTAGGAAAGAAGGAAATAATGAAAAAAAGAATGTAGGAAGGGAAGAAAGTTGGAAGGAACGGAGGAAAAAAGATGGTAGGAAATAAGGAAGGAAGGAAAGAAAGAAGTAAGGAAGGAAAGAAGGAAGGAAGGAAGGAAAGAATGAAGGAAGGAAGGAAGGAAGGAAGGAAGTAAAGAAGGAAGGAAGGAAGGAAGGAAGGAAGGAAGGAAGGAAGGAAAGTAAGTAAGAAAGAAGACGAAAAAGAAATTATTAACCAAAGAAAAATCGGAATAAAAGATTAAATTGCTCAAACGAACAACTAACATGTCATGGTGGAAAGTGATAAAATGTAGTTTTCTTTTTGTGATAAATTTAAAATATATTTCCATTCTATATTCTAATGGAGGAGAATATGTCAGAAGACCAAAGGAAGAAAGAAACAATGCAAAGATCGTCGGATTTTGTAGTGCATGTGTAATGGTCTGGAATTTTGTATGAAAAGCGATGGTATAAGAAGATTTGTAAATATCGATAGAAGTGTTAACAGCAAAAACTTACTTCCTTGAAGTAAGATCTTCTGCCAGACGACGATGAAATTCTCAGTACGAACTGGCTCCTTGCCACACATGACGTGCAGCAAATGCTTTTCTTGTGGATGAAGATGTTCAACATTTACACGACTAACCAGAAAGGAGTTCTCATCTCAATATAGCTTAAGCCTTGTGGCGGAGAAACCAAGAAAGAAATGTTCCAACGAAAAGTGCTTTGGGTTACTGCCAAGAATGGGAAAATCTCGAAGAGAATATCTGGACGTTGTTCCATTCAATGGAACATCGAATCTAGACATTCAATCCTAACCCAGCAACACTTATTATAAACACTATACCTTGATGTCTTGTACTTACTATAATGATAGAGATCACTTTTTGCAATATATATATATATATATATATATATATATATATATATATATATATATATATATATTCGACTCTCCCGTCGAATTTGACGTATGAGGGTCAAGCCGATCAGTTCCTTGGAAATTGACAGCCCGACACCAGGACATGAGATTTTGAAGGGCCGAAAACAGAGATTTGGCGCACTACGTGCCACAGGGTCCCCAAACGTTGAAAGGTTTTGAATTCAGAGTTGTCCTTCTCCTAGACGAGTTGCCATCCAAGGCTATAGAACCAGTCTGTTCTGCTCTCCTATTCCTCAATTCAAGCCGCTATCCATTACCCCACTGTACTTCATATATATACATACATACATACATATATATATATATATATATATATATATATATATATATATATATATATATATATATATTTATATTATTTTAAAAAATATGATTTCATCCAGACACAGAAATGACTATGTTTCAAAAACTGGTCCACTTTTGATGGTGTCTGCACGAAACCACTAAATTAAACTTTAACACTTGTGGACCAGTTTGGAAACATAGTCATTTCTGTGTTGCAACTGAATCGTATTTTTTAAAAAAATAAGTATCGATCACTGTTATTTAAAAATAAAATAAAAATACTAAGGAACTTTGGATCATCAATCTAACTGTTCTTTCCTATAACATCAATACACCCATACATACGCAAACACACACAAACACACACACACACACACATATATATATATAAATATACTAGTAGTAGAGCCCGGCGTTGCCCGGGGATGTAACAGTAAGAGATAGATGAAGTATCGACCATCATAAAGACTGAAAAATAAAATTGACAAACATTATTGTTTAAGGTTGACGGACACGAATGTCTTAATTAGTTTTTTTTTTTTTTTTTTTTACGAATTGGTCAAATCCAAACTCAAACAAAAACATTGTTTTCAATCGTTATGAGTCCATCGATTGATGAATAGAATTTTATTATAAACAATTGTCTTGTAAATGGAATTTTTAAAGCATTCTGAATGTAAAAATAAAGAAAAAAGTGTGCAAGACAATAAGAAACACTACCTGCCCCCCAAAATGTGAAGTTTTGTTGAAATCGGTTGAAAAATGTAGGAAATCCGATCCCATATATAAAAGAACACACACACACACACACACACACACACACACACACACACACACACAGAGAGAGAGAGAGAGAGAGAGAAACACAAACAACCTGGGTTTTATAATAAGTATAACTCGATATGAGTTGTCTCCCCTTTCATTCTCGCGATGCGTCTTAATCGTGTTTTCAAATTGATTTCGTGCAAAAACAATTGTGCTTTTCCAATTTTTGGCGCTGTCAGAACCACCACATGGTAATTTTACGTAGTCCTGTGTAGTTTTGTTGAAATCGGTTGAAAAATGTAGGAAATCCGATCCAATATATAAACGTACAGACACACGCACACAACCTGGGTTTTATAATCAGTATGATATATTAAAATAAAAGGAAAGAACAATGAGATTTATAATTCAGAGTTCTTAGCATTTATTTTCTTTTTAAGAAACACTGCTCAATACAAGCATAGAGCATAATATAATTGTTTTTTTAATATATAATCATTGCAACACCGAAATTGTCATGTTTAAAAACTGAAACTTCAATTTAAATTCAATCATACAAATAAACTTAAAATACAAAATGCCGTTCCATTATGAAGCGATGCTAAGAATAACTTGATTTAATTAGTTTATAAATTCAAACAAATTTGATATTTTGAGATATTGGGGTTAAAGTGAATTCCATCTTTTTTATTTTAGGGGTGTTAAGATTTAACTTATTTAGAAAACTCATGTATCTAATGTATTGTAGCTATCAAGTCAAAATCTTCATTGCCGCTTCAGCATTTTACATGCCATTTTTTAACATTACTATGCTTACGATGGTCTATCATCCAACGTGCAGCATTAACGAAAATGTAGTAACTTCTTTTCAAGCGCTGAAAGATCATAAAATATCTTGGTAAGCACTTACTGCTACATTTAAGCCCAACAATTTTGAATGTAATTAATTTAACATGGTGTTCACAAATTTTTGCGACGCATGCGTATTTCATAATCTTTATATGCTACCTTCTGGAATCAGATTTTCTCATAGCACATCGAACTTTCGCTTTTGGAAATCAAATTGGAAGAGAATGTGCCTATAAGAGATGTTGACAAGACTAGGATACCAAAGAAGTGCTGAATTGTAATTTTTACGAGAATATACTTCAAGCTACATCGTTAACAATAACTTTGAAAGTAGAACGTGTAAACTGCGTTTAAATCGATAGAAATATATGTCAGTGTCTTCACTAAATTTAATATTTGGTTACTTTGATCAGTGAAACGCCAGAGAGTTCAGGAATGTATGTGAAAATCATGTTTAATTATCCGCAATGGAAATCTGAGAAGATTAGAGTTATGCATAATAACATTCAATAAATTTTCATTTCAGGAGAAAACACTGAAGAGAAGCAATAAATACACATACATACATATCCACCCTTTTCTTTTTTATTACTTTAGTTATTTGCATCTATCTATCTATCTATCTATCTATCTATCTATCTATCTATCTATCTATCCCTTTTCTTTTTTGTTTTTTTATTTATTTTTATTTATTATCTATCTATCTATCTATCTATCTATCTATCTATCTATCTATCTATCCTCCCTTCTCTTTTTTGTTTCTTTATCTATCTATCTATCTATCTATCTATCTATCTACCCTCCCTTCTCTTTTTTGTTTCTTTATTTATTTGAATCTATCTATCTATCTATCTATCTATCTATCTATCTATAAATCCCTTCACAAACTTCATCAATGCTTATTATTAATTCCAGTGAAGTCCCGGAATGGTATTAGATATCTCCTGCCAAAAACGGGTGAAACATATGATCCGAAAAATTACAGGTCACTACCATATCTGTCCACTACGTATAAATTCATTACATCTGCCCTGGCGAACTGTACTTACTCTTTTCTCGAATAAAACAACATTCTGCCTCTGGAACAGAAGGCATACAGGAGAGGTTCATATGTTTGCAAAGATCAACTATTGATAAACTAATATATCCTGTAAAACTGCTGGAAAAGAGATAGAAATCTCAGCAGAGTATGGATAGGTTACCGTAAAGCCTTTCATAGTGTGCCACGCTGTTAGATCCTTAAAACTTTGGAAACATACAAAGTCTCCTTGGTGATAGTAAATTTCCTTAAACACAACATGGGAATGTGGAAAACCACATTATACCTAAATCTCACCAAAATACCTACCATTTCCAACCGTCTGAATATCCGACGAGGAATCTTTTCAGAAGACTCTCCGTCATCTCTTCAGTTTGTCTCTCATTGATCTTCCTTTCGCATGAAGTAAACAATAATGGCTATCGATACAAAGTAAACAAGTAAGCATTCAATCACCTCTTCTATAAGGATGATCTCAAAATCTTTACCGAAGACGACAATGAATTGAACGGTCTCCTAATACTGGAAAATGTCTCAGTAACGAAATAGGTATGTATTTCGGATTAGATAAATTTACAAATGTTATATTCAAGAAAAGGAGAATTACAGAAACACCTTCAATAGATCTAGATTTTCTCACAAAGATTAGGGACTAGAACAAAAAGAAGCCTATAAGTTCGTAGGTATTAGCGAAGGAGATGGAATACAGCAAACCAAAATGAAGGAGAGAGTAAGAAAAGAATACTACATGTGTGTGCATCTGTTATTGAATATCGAGCTCAATTAAAAAAAAAACAGAATATCAGCCATAAACATCTTGGCTGTCACCGTGATGCAATACAGTTTCACCATCCTTAATTGGACCATAGTTGTCATTAAGCGAATGGATGCCAAAACGTGAAAGATTTTCACTTGTCACTGCATGCATCATCTCAAGGCTGATATTAATCGTCTGTATGTGTCCAGATCCAAAAGAGGCAGAGGATTAGTTCAACAAGAACTGTCTTACAAAACAACAACAATCGGTTTTTGAAGATTCCGGGAAGCTACAAAATACTGGATGTTGATATATGTCAAAGAACATGAAAGAATTAAGAAACTTCATTCCGTAATAAAGGAAGACAGCAAGTTCAAAATGGATTTTCAAGTGGGTTAAGAAAAGCAAGTAAATATTTTATACCTACTGCAAAATCCATAAAAAAGGCAAATGTAATCGACCAGATACATAAAAGTTAGTAGGATCACCTTCTTTGCTTTCTATATTTAGCCCGTTCTAAACAAGTTGATCTTGTCAAACTCAGTACATATCAGTAATTACGTAGTAAAAAGCCAAGGCTTGTGAAAATACTTGCTTCACATGACGAATCAATACTGAAAAATTATGTTAGCCCAAAATGCAGATTCTG